CCCTCTAATTAATCCAACCCACCCTCTAATTAATCCAGCCCACCCTTTAATTAATTCACCACCACTTTAATTAATTCACCCCCTCTAATTAATCCAGTCCCCTTTAATTAATTCACCCCCCTTTAATTAATTCACCCCCTCTAGTTAATCCAGCCCACCCTTTAATTAATTCACCCCCCTCTAATTAATCCAGCCCACCCTTTAATTAATTCACCACCCCCACCCCCTTTAATTAATTCAATTAATCCCAGACATAAAATATCTAGCGGTACTCACATTTCAAGATTCCTTGCCGAGTCCGACCACTGGGAGCCTCACCGCCCGGAAATGGATCCTTCCGCTGAAGATCCGTGAAGGCAGACTGACGGCGCTGCAAAATGTCGTCATCACGTTGCGCGACGCTCCTCCTACAGCAGAAGAGGAAGTCTCGCCGCAAAGGTACAATGCCTAGGTCTTATTTTCGGGGTAGGGCTTATATTGCAGCCCACCCCGAAAATCCGACTAGGGCTTATTTTCGGGGTAGGGTTTATTTTCGGGGAAACACGGTATGGTGTTTTTGAAAGGTACAGGGTCAATATAGGGCTTGTCCAATTCAATTTGCCAGATTGTTTTGCTGGGTCTGTGTTGCATTTTAAGACCATATGGTAGCCCAGGAATGTGAAATAACTCCATCAAGGCATTACATTTTCAAATGTAGACAACCCAGGGTATTCAAAATGGGGTATGTCAGTCTTTTGTAGTAGCCACTTAGTCACAAACGCTGGCCAAAGTTAGCGTTATTATTCGTTTTTTCTAAAAAAAACATTTTTCAATTTTTATATATATATATATATATATATAAAATACGTGTGTGTGTGTGAATATATATATATATATATATATATATATATATATATACACATACATATATATATATACAATACACAAGATCTTGTGTATTGTATAATTTGGCCCCCAGCAGCACCCCATTTATGCATGTTCAGGTGAGTGCAGCCCATTGGTCCATATATATATATATATATATATATATATATATATTATATATATATATATATATATATATATATATATATATATATATATATATATATATATATATATATATATATATATATATATATATAGTAACGAAGGATGGGTGTAATAAAAGTGTATTCCCCTATCACCTCCAAATCAAATAAGGATAAAGTAGAAAATCATACACCCAAAGTGTCCACACAAGATATACTTAATTATACTCTGGTACAGCACAAGTTCAATATATCTGTGAAAATAAAAATAAACACATAGTGCTTTCTGTATATAACCAGGTATAAAATATGAACAAAGTGAAGAGCCGTGTCAGGCTCTATAGAATCAGCGTATAGGATACCTATACAGGACAAATGGTATTGGTGCCAGGACAGGATTGCCAGATTGGTGATTAAAATAACAAATGTATTGAATACAATATAATTAAAAGGAATTATTGGACCTGAGTCCAAAAATAAAGCAGTGCATAAATATATTTATAAAGAATGTCACCGTAGCAAAGGTCCCTTAAAAGTTAAATCCCAAAGTAACCGCAGCAAACGCGTTTCGGCTATTAGCCTTCTTCAGTGCTGAGTAATTTTCCATCTGGTCTGTTTAAATACCCTGTTGAAATGACGTGAGGTTCATCAGCTGGGGTTCGTTTCCGTTGTGTTGGCAGGACATCACTGTGGCGAAGGGACGTCGATGTGTAACTTCCGGTGTTTCACCGATACGTCATTTCCGGTGCGCCTATTGCTAGGCGATGTTGATATTGCACAAGTCCTAAGCTAGGTAAACTCCATCTTGATTATGGGCAAAGAATGTCCTATAGTTATATAGCATTGGAACATGATAAAACTCATAAATAGTTAAAAAAGTGGGATTGGCTGCCATCGTCAAGATAAGACCTTCTCTGCTTTATTTATTTATTTATTTCATCTGGACTTTTATATATTTATTATTTAAGCGCAGCCCTTTTTCTATATTTTTTGTGTTTTATCCTAAAGGGTTTTTGAGGGATTCCCTTTTTAGGGTTGCTGCCCACTTGTGTTATTTAGCGCTCACTCATCTGTTTTTATTTCATCGTCAAGAAGCATGTGTCTTTTTTTTTTTTTTTTTAACAAAAAGTGCAGATTTCAATAGAAATTTACACTTTTACACAAACAACCAGTCCTGTTACTTCCTGATTGGAAGTGGAGGTAAACTCAACAGGTCACAATTGCCCAGAGCACTCCACTTGCAAAAACCTTTATTAACTGCATTGGGAAATCTGTGATTGGACAGCCACAGAATGTCTGTGCAGGATTAGAAGGGGCAGATTTTCAAAGGCAGCAGACATGAGAACTGCAGGTTTTGCAAGCTGGTTTAGATATACCCTCAATGGAAAAATGCAACATTAAATGCATACACGTTTTAATCTGTGTATATCTACTAAACAGAGATTTGTATTTGTTTTGTATTTGGGAAGTGGTGTGTCCATTTAAGTCTTACCTTGGTAGGAATATCTACATAGGTAGGAGAACACCATAACATTAGGAATATATGTTTGTGCATCTAATGCTATAGTGTTCATTTGATCTGAATACTTATGTCACCAGTATTTTAGTTTTTCTGTTTAATATATTTTCAGAGGTGGCAAAAAATCTATTTTTTGTTTTGTCCTTATGGAGCTAGATTGATGTGAAAAATGATAGCATAAGGATGCAACATAAACAATTTAAATAAAAATGATAAGCCCCCAGTGAAGGTTCAGCAAACTGCAAGAGGCATGCAAACCGGGCAATAAGGAACTGTGCTTTAGAAAAGGGGATTAAGAGGCAATACTTTTACCAATCCCAAAATAGTGATGGATATACATATTTTTTGTCACCTATCGGTTAAAAAAATCATGTCTCCTGGTTCATCAAAATCCTTGGAAGAAAAATTGTTTACTAAGTTATACTTAGAAAATTGTTTAGAATTAACAAGGGGATTGCAACTTTTAGGCTAAAAGAGGTAACCTGGTAAGATTCTGTAACCTTGCTATTTTCAGCTCCATTATTTTGGCCTAAAATACTTTACATTAGGGCATACCATAGTCAGTAATGCTTTTAAAAACGAAAAGGTTATTTTAGAAAATATCTAGTGTGATTTTGAGAGTGTCAGAGGGCATCAGTCCTTCCTGAATACACATTGCATAAAAAAGTAATACATTAATTTTGTCTATACTCATAAATCGGTAGAGCTTTACACAGCTCAAGAATTGAAACTAATTTTCTTTCTGTGTCTATAACAACAACATATTTAATTAATGATAAACCTAAATCCCTACATCCCTAAAAAGAAATCCTTCTCATGGGTATTTTGTTCAGGTCTCACCCAGATAGCACCACTCCAGCTCATTGTTTTAATGAAAATCATCTAGCTCAAATCTTTCATAGCAGCATAAACATTGTAATATACAAACGCACGTGCTACCAATTTAAAATGATACCAATTTCCAGGGATAGATTGTACAATTAACACAATCACTTACTTTTTCCCACTTGAAATATTTAATAAAATGTATCCCCACCATTAGTATAAAATGAATGCAAAAATGAATACACAATTCTTATACTGAGCAGGACAATTAAACTAACATTTGATATGTAAGTGAAAATATTGAGTACACATACAAGCATAGATATCCACAGTTCAATGTCAGCAATGCAATCTTAAACCCCACTGCAATACATTTGAACGCAGTAATAAAATTGTAAAATCTGCCAAGTTCGCTGTCTCTTCATATAAAATCATTGTCCAAGAAAATAAATTCATAGCAGTGATCCAGATGCTGTGGTCTAGTCTAGAGCAAGCAAGGGCATCCTGCAGTGCCTGGTGCTATAGTACTATATAAAAAAACCACAAAAAAACCCACATAGCGTTAGCGCCCAGTGTCAGTGAGCTGTTCTGCAATACGCTATAAAGCACTGACAACCTATCAATCAAAGTATTCAATCACAAATATAGTGTACAGTTACATTAATGCGTGTTACACCAATGACATACAGTGTAGAATCTAGGACCACAGAAAAGATTACACCTGGATTGGTCAAAGAAATAACCCTACCCCCAGCCAGCTGTTGTAAAACTACAGCAGCTGGAAGCTCGCCTTTTGGCCCCCTACAGATTACCCTTTCAAGGTAGAAAAGCCATGCACTGCATTTCCTGTGCCAACTGCATGCCAGCACCCCCACTGATAAAGAACTTGTATACGAAAGCACATCTTATCCACTAGGCTATAAAACATTCAAGTTCACTGCATGCACTGCATCGCTCAGAGCCACAGAAGCCGCAGCACAGCTGGGCAGCCAGCTAAGGTTGGTATAAGGAGGGGTGATGGGAAGGGGCGCGAATGGCATGACACATTTTAATAAAAGATAGAACGTTCTATTCCCTTCTCGCTTCCTCAATTCCCCATACAACACCCCGTCACTCTCTTACCAGAGCTACTAATCCTGCTGCTGCCTTGCCTTCCTGTCTGTGTTGAGACGTATAGCACTGTCCCCTGTGCTGTCACCCTCACAGAGGAATGATGAGGAGTGAGAGTGATGCTGCTGCTGTTACTGGTCAGTGGCACTTTTTGGCCACCCAGCGCCCGCCTGTCAGTGCTGCAGACACGCCGTCATTCACATGGGCTGGCAGAGGGGCCATGAGATCATTATCCGGATCATGGCCTTTTCCCCTCCTGCTCAATCCCTCTGCCAGTCCCTCCTCCCAATTCCTTCTTGGTTTTATTTTTAATCCTGCTGTCTGTAGTTCTCCTCTGCTTTGCCACTTCCCCCGTGCAGAGAGCCAACACCACACCTCCTCCATAGTTGGAAGGAAGCTGAGGGGAAAAAAATTGCATAGAGACTTCTGGTAACTCGTGATAAATATCATGGCACGCTGCAGTGCTAAACAGGTCAGGGCAACCATGGCCGCTAACGCATTTGAGATCTGTTGGTTTATGGTGGCCCAGTGACATCATTATTATTGCCAGGGGACTTTCAGAGGAAGCGATACAATTACTAAATCAGTTCACAAACAAAAACAGAATTAACCATTTCAAGGCACTTGCAGTAACTCGGCTGCCAGATGGTTTTACAATGCTCCCAAAGTACTTGCAGTGATTTGTATTAGTAGAAAAATATCGCTGGCTAGCTTGTGATGCCGACTAGTTATCAATCACCTATCCTGTGGCAATGCGTGTTTGATCTATGTGTGTTTGTTTTTGCACCTGCACACTCCCCGACCGGACAATACCATTGCACATTGTCACATATGAGTGTAAATGTGATTGAAGGGGAGTAATTACTACAGAGTGGGCTGTAGACTCGGGGATAGGTATCTACCTAAACTGGTAAAAAGCTGGTAATTGTGCATATCAGGCCATAATTGGAAAAATCATAATAAAAATCAACTATTTGGCCTAATATTGAAAACCCTCTGGCCAATGCTCCAACATTCTCAGTTTGAAGAATAAAACCCTAATTGATTTGCAATTATGCAACTTGTTTAAGTTGTTTACTTGAATACAAAGTATTATACTTTCTTATGTGGATTTTGGATCTTCACTTTTTATAAAAGTTGTATGGTACAGAAAATACATTTGCTGTTATACTACTATTTATACTATTACTGTTATTTTATTTTGCTCCTGAATTTCTGGAAGGTAACCAAAGTATAGTCTATTTAATCAAGGTCCAATTTTTTGACCAGTTAAAACATTAAGTGATATGGATTATTCCCTTATCGTAACATTAGGGAGACCAACCAGACTACTAGCTTCTTAAAGTGGCTTGGTCACCTTAAACAAAGTTGAAGCTTAAGGTAAGCTCCACTTCTTTTGTCAAGTTTGTCATACACTCTCATTGATATATACACAATGTCTCTTGAGTCTTACACACACACACTCAACCTCTGACACACACTGTCATTTACACACTCTCACTAACTCACATTGTCACTGACATACACACACAATGTCACTTACACACTCTCACACCAATTAGTCACAGTTTATTTGGTATGGAGCATACTGGTCTGCTATAGGTACATGGGGTCCAATATGTTTTCATGCCCTGAGGTCCGTAGGTGAGGTAGGAGAGCCATGGGCTGTGATGCACAGGCTCCTTCCAGTTCTGATTGGAGGGCTTCTGGTTAACAGGCAGCTAGCAGCCAGGATACCAGTTTATATCCCAAATTCACTGCCTGCAACAAGTTGTGGTGTTTGCTCGGGCACTGGAGTTACATGACAGTAAGCAGCTGACACTTTGTGGCAGGCAGTGTATTTCTAGGGCTGCTCAACCCAATGTGAGATAGTTAAAGGACCACTCTAGGCACCCAGACCACTTCAGCTTAATGAAGTTGTCTGGGTGCCAGGTCCTTCTAGGGTTAACCCATTTTTTTTATAAACATAGCAGTTTCAGAGAAACTGCTATGTTTATCAATGGGTTAAGCCTTCCCCCTATTTCCTCTAGTGGCTGTCTCATTGACAGCCACTAGAGGTGCTTGCGTGATTCTCAGTGATTTTCACAGTGAGAGCACGCAAGCGTCCATAGGAAAGCATTGTAAATGCTTTCCTATGCGACGGGCTGAATGCGCGCGCAGCTCTTGCTACGCGTGCGCATTCAGCCCAGGAGGAGGAACGGAGGAGGAGAGAAGGAGGAGAGCTCTCCGCCCAGCGCTGGAAAAAGGTAAGTTTTTAACCCTTTCCCCCTTCCAGAGCCGGGCGGGAGGGGGCCCTGAGGGTGGGGGCACCCTCAGGGCACTATAGTGCCAGGAAAACGAGTATGTTTTCCTGGCACTATAGTCGTTCTTTAAGGTATTGCTGTGCTTTGAGATAGCTGATTAAAGTGGCACCGGCCTTGCATAAGAGTGGCTCAGGATGATGAGCTCTTGGCTGACACCGCTCCTCTCACCTCCCTAATTTATTTTTTATTTTTTCACTTGCCATTGGCTTCAAGGTGGGACACCATCCACAAGGTAATTTCCCGGTATGCTGATGGGCCATTCTGGAAGATATGTCTTTTTGTAGTCGTTATGGTGCTTGGAGTGTTCCTTTAACATCTTTTACTGGATTTGAAACTCTAAACTACTTTATTAAATAAAAAATGTGGAGAATAGACAATGGAATTACACATTTTAGGCTAAAATAGTCAATCTGGAATTCTTTTTTTACTTGGATATATTTCCAGCTTGGTTATTTTGGCCTAAAATTTGCAGAAACTTTACAGTTCTCAAAATGCCCAAGTTAGTGTCCAATTATTAAAGTATATCTTGGTTTAAAACTGGAAGGGGGAGTTGGTCAGTAGGGATGTGCATGGGCAAAAAATTTAGTTTGGTTCAGCATTCCGAAATTTGGCACTTCGGCAATTCGGTTTGGTTCGGCACCTCTGAAATTCAGGACTTCGGGAATTCTGAACTTCGGCACGTTGGGTAAGTTTAGGGTTAGGGTTGGGTTAGGAATAGGGTTAGGGTTGGGTTAGGAGTAGGGTTAGGAGTTTGCTTAAGAGTAGGGTTAGGGTTGGGTTAGGAGTAGGGTTAGGGTTGGGTTAGAAGTAGGGTTAGGTTGGGGGTAGAGATACCATACTCCTAACCATACCCTAACCTTACTCCTAACCCAAACCCTACCTCTAACCCTACTCCTAACCCAACCCTACTCCTAACCTAACCCTACTCCTAACCTAACCCTAACTCTACCCCAATCCTACCCATAACCGTTTTGCCACTTTTCAGAAGTCCGAAATTCAGCACTTCAACACTTCGGAAATTCAGCACTTCGGCAATTCGGTTCAGCACTTCGGAAATTCGGCACTTCCGCAATTCAGCATGTCTGAATGTCTGAAATTCATCCAAATTTGGGTGAGTAGGGAAAGAAAAGTCACAGAATGGAGGGAAGGGGCAACTGGTGACACACAAGAGGATAATTGGAGTATGTGGAGACAAAAAAGGGGATAAAGTGGTATTTAGACACACACAAAGAGAAGGGTGAGTCAAATAAATTTCACGGAATGGAGTAACATTTTTTATTTTAATTCCAGGGGGTACCAACAGGCAATTCCACCCGAGATGCCAATTATTCTAGGTACCTTAAAAATCTTACTTCTGGTGGGTGTGGCCGACAGAGAAACTTAGCAGACATCTATCAGTAGAGCTCCGCTCGGGCCCATAAAAATAAGACCTTTGAGAGAGAATACTTACCAGCACCCCCCAGACGACATGATGGGGTGCAAAAACAGAAAGAACCATTGCCCAGAAATCCCTTGTGTGATATCAGGCTCTCTTTCGAGAGGCCCATGCTGCATCCACCACCAAAGATGGCACCTGAGGCACAGAGCAAACCAGAGGTCTCTGAAGACTCAGAGGGAAGGTCCTTGGGAGTATACCAATCATCGGAGTCAGATGAGGTCTCGTCCAATTCAACAAAAGGGGACATAAAAAAGTTACTAACAGACCTGAGGAAAGTCTAGAAGGCAGATCTCGTAGAGGCACAAATGGAGAAGATCTCGTGGAAGGAAGAGGAGCTACCAGAGATGGTCAGATCCTGAAAACAAAAAGGCTTTCCTTACAAATTCAACAACTAACCCAAGTGGTGACCTCGCTGGAGATGCGCCATAGGTGCCAAAACATACGCATCAGAGGAATCCCGAAGTTCGTAAGTGGTGAGACGCTGTTACAATTTACCAGAAACCTAATGACCTTTATGGGTGTCAAGGGGTGCACTGAGACCCTGCAGATTACCTCAGCGTTTCGGGTGTGTAAGTCTGCCGTAGTGCCTAGTGAAACTCCCAGAGACTCTCGGCATGAGTGCAAGATAGCCTTTCTTGGTCCTGAACACAGGGCTGTACCAGGCCACTTTGGTTATCCTCAAAACATTACATATACAATTGTAAGAGTTAAGACATTTTCTTTTGATTTTCTAAATATGCAATATTGCTTTACCCCTGACCAGTAATATGTTGATTTATCTGTTTCTTTGTTTATTACATTTACATATAATGGAAATCATGTATGTGTACAAATCCGAATAAAATACAAATAAGAAAAAAAAATCTTACTTCTGTAAATCTACTTTGTATTTACAGTGATATGAGTGATATCTGTGTACTTAAAAATATTGACACAAAATATTTTATAAATGCTTCCCATTTTTAAATATTGTCCTCCTTACTTTTAGAAATCATATAACTATTCAGATGTAAATGAACCAAAAGCAATAGCCTATTTAGTGCAGCATATCATTAGAGTGCTATGTAACAGCAGAAACAATTGCCGTTAATCAAGCTTCAGATAATTAGCATTAAATTCGTCCTACAATTATGTGAGGGATATTTTAACTCCATGCCATTAGGTACTCATAGTAATTTGAAGATGTTCCATAAAATGACTAAATACCTCGGATTCAAGTAATTTAAAAATGAAAAAAAAATTAGCAATTTCTAATGTTAACTTTAGAGATGATAAAGGTAAAAATAAAAAAAAACTGTATGTAATTATCCAATTGTTTTACATTTATGAGTTATGTGCTGTATGTGTGCTATTAAAGGGACACTCCAGGCACCAAAATATATTTTATGCATGTTTTGCGTTTAAAGAATAATTGCCTAAGGGAACCAAAAGGTGTTGGAAATACACTTACAGAGATAGAGCATATATAGGATAATAAATCCAAGAATTGAATATAACAATAACTATCTGGTTATTGGGACATTTGAGTTTAAACAGACCTCAAAAGACAAATACCTTCTCATAACCAGTGTCACAATTACAGGGAAACGCCTTTATTAAATGCTTGGATAGATGCGAGGGGGTATGTCTACTAAATGTATAAATAAATTATGGGGGTATAAAGTGAACCACTAAACAATGAACACAAATGGAATGAATGTACTTGAATTCAAGAGCCCTATAGAGGCTACTAATGTTGCAACATTGTATTATATCAGTTTAACATTCATTACCAATAGAGTTACAGAAATAAGCCCTAGGACTAGGCTGGATAGTGAATAAAGGCAGGGAAATAGGTAGATAACTGAATCCTACCCTTGTAATATTAAGGTACCCCTTGATTAATGCTCAAACTAGGTCAGTGGACAACTATGTATAAGGCTAACTACAGCAGGAACTCCAGATGCCTAAAACTGTGAATGCCGTAAAATAACGGTTATCCGAGTGCATTTAGAAAGGGAGTGTCCGTAAAAAAATTGCGTTCAATAATCTCCCATAACAGAGATCCTATGAGAGCATAACCATAAAACTGAAGGTCTGCCCGACCAGTCCACCAACTGCTATTAGCCTCTACGATACCTCCAGCATGATTCTAATCTAACTAAGCCCAAAACACCATTGCTATCTTCTAATAAAACCAAGCCCAATAAATCAAAATAAACCAAAATAAAGAAAGCATAAAAACGCCTGACGCGCGTTTCAGTGCCACGATAGTGCGCCTTCATCCGGGGTAAGTGTTGCTTGCCCCAGACGAACACTTGCCCAGGCACCAAAATATATTTTATGCATGTTTTGCGTTTAAAGAATAATTGCCTAAGGGAACCAAAAGGTGTTGGAATTACCCTTATAGAGATAGAGCATATATAGGATAATAAATCAAAGAATTGAAGATAACAATAACTCTCTGGTTATTGGGACATTTGAGTCTAAACAGACCTCAAAAGACAAATACCTTCGCCCGTCGGGCTCTCTTGTTTGGGGAGTAGACCTCAGGTAGAAAGGTAAAGGTAAAACTGTTAAAAAAAAATGATATGACTCTTTACAAAGGGGAAGGGGTGCCAGGGCATGCCTGGCAATATAAACACTACAGTGAGCTATAGTGGTTATGGTACTTGGAGCATTACTTTAAATTTATAGTAGATTTTATGCAAATTACATGAAAATCAAGCTCAGAGCAGGCAAAGCTAGGGAATACATTGCTAATGAGGAGAAGAATTAGAAAAAAAATTTAATCTCTCTTTTTCTCTGCATGCTTTCTCTATGCAGGTGGAAATGACAGCGCTTTTGATGATTGAGCCAAGAATAAAGAATCCAGTTGCAGGATAAAGAAATATGGATTTCTAGAGCTAATTTATTTTTCACACCTCACAAATACATATTTGTTAAAAATAGGGTCAAGGAAACATAATATTACAAATCCTGGGAAGTGACTGTTCCCCTTTAAGTCGTCTTCTCTCCAATCTCCATCTTTGTAAAGTACTTCCCTCTTGCTGGTTGTGTGTGTTCTGAATTTTACATCTCTCTTTCTGTCCCTCCCAATGTATCAATATCACAGTTGTATGTGTAATCAGGAAGCACAGCAAATGTTTCTGGGAGTTGTAGTACATAGAAAGCTAATATCCACAACACCCAGATAATTGAGCTATAAGCAGCACCATGGTTATACACATGCTACCATTCACCCCTTCCTGCTACACAATGCAACAACCAAGGGGTCAATCTCAATATAATTAGGGATTATTCTAGCCTCGGTGAGGGAATAATCTAAATTTTATTAAAGACAGGAGGCGAATATTTGCTTTACCTTCTTTACTGAAACCTCCAGCAGCAAAGAAACAGTTAACAGAACTTTTCAAAACAACCAATCAGAACAAAGCAACAGTAGTATAAAACCCCTAAGCAGGCTCTTCCACTTCCTCTTTCTTTGATGAGGTCGAGCAGGAGAGCAAGGAAACCAACGAATCCACCATGTAGCAGACACATCCAGAGAAACAATCGTCAAGCCCAGAGAGAAAACAGATTACACTGCAAGAAAACAGAAAACATTGTGAAAGTAAACTGTCAAGGCAAGATGTCATATCCATACAATATCACTTTAACATCATAATACATGATGAATAAACAAAGTCTACAGATCTTATGAAGACCTAATATGTACCTAAGCTAAAAGGCATTGACGAAACATAATTACAACACAAACATGATGAATAAAACGCACACGGACAACCATCACTGAATATTAGAAATAACCTTTATTATGTAAAACCATGCATTCACAAAACATAACAATATCCCCAATTATTTATAATAGAATAAAACCCAGATCCAGGGAGGGAACGTAAAAAAAAAGGGGGGGAAATATTCGCCTCCTGTCTTTAATAAAATTTTGATTATTCCTTCACCGAGGCTAGAATAATCCCTAATTTTATGGCAGGACAGGAGGCTTCATATTTGCAATTTTAACGCCCAAATAGTAGAACCAGAAGCAATATGAGATAGAGGACTGAAATAAAGGAGAATGGAAAAACTGATTCCCTAAACCAAGCAGCGGAGTAGAGAAAATGCAGAAGGGACCCAACGGCTTCCAAAATTGTTGAGATGACAGCACCCCGAACCAAAAGTGTCCCAGAGGAACTCAAGGTCAGTCAATGAGAGGATCCACCAAATCCAACGGGCGAGCAAAGATGCAGAGACAGTCCAAAACGGCCGTACGCAGAAATAAACAGCTGTCCATGAGTAGACGGACGAAAGAACCAGATCCTGGATCTACATGGTCGTGTACAATCTGTCAACAGAGCCATGGCCTATCCGGAGAATAGGGGTACGACACAGAGGACGAATAAAAATGAAATATGTGTGGAGCAGAAGCCGATGTACTGAACGGCAAGAAGGAAGAAGACACGTCGATACCATGACGTCAGAACGCGATGAAATACAAGATGTACTGGGGGGAAACCGTAAGCGAAAAAAACTGGCGAGAGATAGGGCTCCCGTACGGTATACTCCTCTTGGTAGACTGCAGACCAAGAGATCCTTAGCAATGCCAGAATCTTGAGAAAACGCACATGAGTCGTCCACTAGCTGACATAGGACGTGAATGGCCCCATACGATCCTACCCTGAGAGGGCAACTCAGCCAGACAATGGGGACAGCCATGATAAGGACCGCCATTGGGACCCAAACACAAGTCGTGGCAGGCTACCCCTGTGGATCCCACGTGGGACATTAAGAGACAGGGAGTCGTAGATTGCCTTCCCATGGCAAACTCCAGCAAAAAGGGGAAAGCACGCAGGACTCCTCCGAAGTGGTTTGGCCAGGCGAAACAACACTTCCAGGAATTCGGTCTGAAGCAAAACCCAAAGTATCCTGTAGGTAAACGGGATGCGTACGCCCCGAAGGAGACCAAGCTTGGAAAACTCGTCCCTCGCCTCGCTGAGTGTCCGGCAGCCAGTTGGAGAACCGCTCCATATGGCGGTTCGCACCGAATGTAATCATGCCAGTACTCGAGACCCTGGAGGGTGAGGCAACCAATCATTGGGGTCTCTCCATGGCCGTGTGAAGCCGTCCGCCACACGAGTGTCTCGTCCCGCATACATTCTGTCACAAATGACGAATACTTGTCCAGAAGCTATAGATAGTGATCCTATGTGAGATCCGACTGCAGTCCGTAGTGGGCAACCGGTGAGAAGTCCATGCCGGAAGGTAGCGAGCAACACTGTGAATGTTGAACAAACCTGCAGGTAGTTCCATGCAGTTGGCGTAAAGGAGTCCCTCCTCCGGAGTCATCAACTAAGTCTTAGATGAGCTTCGTCCGAAGGTCACATGATTTGGTCATACCAGGCCAAAGACCCGAGAAAGCGCCATGTTGGGCGGCTGATAGTACCGGATCCTGGAGGTATGGCTTCCATGGCGAATAGGCACCGGTCAATTAACCGGGTTGGGCCCCTAAGTGTAACCCGCAGGTTGCGGAGCATATACCTGGTATTTTCCTTGAAGACGGACATATTGGTCCTCGGGAGGCGGAGCACCGCCTGGACCGAATATTCCATGAAAGACCTGAAACTGGGTTGACTTGGAGTGAGTCAGATTCAATATGTCCATGTTGATGGCAAAATCCATGCGGGTTTCTCTCATGTGCATTTGAGGGAGAGAACCAATCGTCAATGCCGAGCCTGCTCTCAGAGGGGATGAGTGCTCTCCGTCTCAAAATGTGTCAACAGACGACATGCACTGGGAGCATGTAGCGTGGGGATGGGGCGGGAGTCCACTCCACCGCACCCTTTGCCCAGCAGGGCAACTGTGGAATGAGTCGGAATGGATGCCTCTTTTGGTCATGCGTATCGCTCATGGAACGGTCCAAGGTTCCGCAACCTTGATCTGGAGTCCGGGCACGGTCCGAGAGACCTCTGGGGCTAGTTAAGGGGGAACCCTATGAATAGAGACGTGTCAGCTCAATTTGTACACGAGGGTAACTCCAGACAGCAGACCCAGCACTTGGATGCTAAATCCATCAGTTTGATGTCCAGCTTGGACAGGGGCCGTTTTGCGGTTCTCAGGGGTAGAAACCAACTAGGCGATACCTATAAGTCATATCGGTCCATTCCCAGTGGTAATTTAGTCTTCTCCGCTTTCCAAGCGGTAACGCGCCGTTCGTCCCGAGGAAACATCTGTGTCCGCGTGTCACCGACATCCACTGGTTAGTCCCAGATAGAGTGCAAACCCCGTGTCAGGTGTTTGCGGTGTCCTTTCCGGACTCCGTCATGAAGACTGATCCTCTTGATGAATCCATCCGTTAGCCAACGAGTACCAGGGGTGCTTGGTGTAGCGTCTAGGATGGCCGGTGGAGTGTCCCCGTAGGGTACCGATGGTTTCTGGCAGTGAGGTCAGCGGGGCGACAAGAGGACAGGCCAAGTGACCTTCTGGGTACGGGAGATTTGTCCTTCAGCCGTGATTGCACAACTGCCATAGAGGTAACACTGTCGGAATGATACCTGGTGCGGCCAGCTGGGGGTCACCCAGTGTGCAAGAGGGGGTCACCCAACAAGCACAAGCATACCATGCAGTATAGGCCAGCAGGGGAGGGGGTCACCCTCAGTCTGAACATAATCGGACACTGTAGGTACAGTGGTGCGGCCAGCTGGGGGTCACCCAGCGTGCAAGAGGGGGTCACCCAACAAGCACAAGCATACCATGCAGTATAGGCCAGCAGGGGAGGGGGTCACCCTCAGTCTGAACATAATCGGACACTGTAGGTACAGTGGTGCGGCCAGCTGGGGGTCACCCAGCGTGCAAGAGGGGGTCACCCAACAAGCACAAGCATACCATGCAGTATAGGCCAGCAGGGGAAGGGGTCACCCTCAGTCTGAACATAATCGGACACTGTAGGTACAGTAGTGCCGAAGTGGTTAGCCGTATAATAAAGTAACCAGACATTGCCGGTCCAGCAGTGTAGACGGCAGGAAGGGGTCACCCTCATATAACCAGAACCGGGCATTGCAGATCCAGCAGTGCTGTAGGTAAGAGGGGGTCACCCTCAGTGTGGTATCATAGAGGTCTGTACACCCAGCAGTGTAGTCAGCGAGAGGGGGTCACCCTCATTATGGTTATAACGGGACCCTGTAGGTCCAGCAGAGTAGTCCACAGGAGGGGGTCACCCTCAGTATCTGCGTATTGCAGGGCACTGTAAGAACAGAAGCTCAATCAGTGGGAGGGGTACCCTCTTTTACGGGAATACCCGGACGCTGCAGGTCCAGCAGTGCAGACTGCAGGAGGGGTACCCCCTCGGTATGATAATAGCAGGACATTGCCAGAGCATTAGTATAGAAAGCAGGAGGGGGTCACCCTCAGCATTAATCTTACAGGATGCTGTAGAGCCAGCAGGGTACTCATAGGTAGCCATGTTGCCAGAGGGAGGGGGTCACCCAGCCCACAATGGTGTCACACGTCCATTATTATGGTCCAGTAGCAGGTAGAGCCCCAGAAATATGGATGGGGTGGGTTCACCCCCCAGTAATAACAGGTCTAAATGTGGGGCCAGTAGCCCCGCTGAGGGGTAGGAGGGTCCATATAGCGAGAAGCTGACTCACAGACCACTCAGGTATTATATTAGGATACACTTTTGAAGTGTATGTGTAGTGGAAAATTTAAGTCCCTTGCAGGAAGGGCAGCAAATCCTAGGCAGGGGAGCTAGGTGCTGAAAAACAGGCCATTTAATTTTTATGAGAAAAAGACTGAACCTTAGAGAAAGACTTGATTAGCATATAACACATGTGGCATATTCTTGTTAAACAAAGGATTTTTATTTGAGCAGTAACATGTCCCTTTAAATCTGAGATTCACATGTAATAGTAAAAAAGTGTGACAAGTCTACTGCTAAGATAGAGAACCTAGTCACATTGCATCAGACATAGTAAGCTGCAGTTGTGAGCGTGCCTGGGACAGATCCTGCTATCCAGGATCTGTTACATATGCAGCATGTGAGACAGGCACAGTAAGTAGAGGGATAGCTGAAAAACTGGGCTATCTCCCCTGATATAGGGAGAGGGGAGGGTGGCCACATGGCCAGCAGGCCAGTTCTTGGGTGAGACCTGGCTGTTCGCAACGCACAAAGCCCATGTGGCTCTGAAAAATGGCCGCCGCGGCTCCAAAAACAGAGCGCGGCCTACCGCGTGGTGATCGTGCGGCACTGCAAGCGGCCAGGGGCCACGGGGAGCAGTTGAGGAATAAGGGAGAAGGGTATGGGCGACAGAGCCCAGCAGGGGAACCCGGGGAGGGGAGGGGGAACAGATTACAGGCAGAGCCAAAGCATCATAGCAGGGGCACCCATTGCCCATACAGCAGAGTGAGAAAACAGAATAAAGTAACCCAGAATAACAATAAATCAATGAGCAGTATACAGAATCTATCAGATAAATAGCCTAAATACAGCAACAGATGTTAACAAGTGATACAGCAGCTACATAGCATGAAGTGGTATAGGAAATAACACAAAATAAACTGCCTAGCTAAAAACAGCAATAGACTGCCTAGATAAACCCAGCAATAGACTGCCTAGCTAAACACAGCAATAGACTGCCTAGCTAAATCCAGCAAGAACCCTGCCTAAATAAAACCAGCAATTAAGCTGCCTAAACAAATCTAGCAAATAGACTGATAAAATAGACTGATTAAATAAACAAGCAGCATGTAGGATAAAACAACAACCAAGAGCAGAGACAACTCTGAGTTGGTGAGTGCTCACCTGGAGGCAGCAGCAAAGAAAGAGGACGTGGAAGAGCCTGCTTAGGGGTTTTATACTACTGTTGCTTTGTTCTGATTGGTTGTTTTGAAAAGTTCTGTTAACTGTTTCTTTGCTTCTGGAGGTTTCAGTAAAGAAGGTAGAGCAAATATGAAGCCTCCTGTCCTGCCATAAAATTGTTAGATATTGCCGATGATGATGAGCTATTAACAAAGTTGACATGATCACAGTGTCACCAATCCAATATTCTCAACAATACTTCTGACATTTTTATTGAAGTAGAATTAAAAAATCTTTAATTAAGTATCCATCCACTTTAGCCAAACTCATGCCTTCAAAACCTGCCCCCAACTTAAAGGGTCAGCTAGGATTGGTTAATTCACTTAAGACACAGCAACTGTTCCCCTCTGTGACTGACGTCATCCAATGCTGTGTTCCACCTAGGAAAACGGCATAGAGATAGGGACTGCTGGGCCTGAGACTCCAGGCAGCGCTGGTGACAGTGCACACCACACATTACTATAAACCACACAAGTTGTTCTGGTGAGCAGTGAGAGTGTCAAGTGACACCAAACTTATGCAAACAATTCCTGGTTGGTTAAGTAGTGGAATGCCATCCAGGAAGACATTTTGAATAGACAGAGTGTTGCATGATAACAGAAGAGATTAGATAAAACGAGACGAAGAGGGATTCACTGCGCAGAGCATTATGACTGACACAAACTGCTCTGCGCAGTAAATTTCACAGTGCATTGTGCAGAGCACGGTGTCACTCAGTATATAGCAGTGGATGCTCATCCATAGGTTTTTGCTGTATTAAAAAAAAATTAAGTTATATAATTTTTTTGTAAGATTTATGGCCATTTGCTCACAATTCTGATTAAATCCTACGAGAAGTTTTGCGAATCACCGCCTCTGTCTGTCTGAAGGCCACCTGTTCTTCCAAATGTATCTGTCATGGCAACTACATGGCTTGCTCCTGTGCTCCAGTGCGGCTGGTTCATATACTGGAGGTGCTGCTCCCGTCTCCTCCCTCTTTGATGGTCTCTAGTCCATCATATTTACTGACCCCAGTTGTTTACATGAAAACAAGAGTATAACGCACACACTAAAGAAGGGGAATACTTTCTGCAGATACTCCAGAAAGGGAGAAGATAAATATCCAGGCACACCTGAGGTTTCTTCTAAAAGGCTGTCTTTTATCAGAAACAAAAGAGTGGAGACAACTTTTCGTCTTCTCTCTTAGTCTTTATCAAGTCTAACTAAAGCATTGTAAACACCCTAATAAATACCATCCCAAATAACTATTAAGAGTAAAGTGATAATCAAAGTGAAAACATATGTGACAATGAATCGAAGAACACACATGTATTGTGGAAATAATCAGTGTACAGAACAATGAAAGATCACCCTAAACAACTTAGTCTTATCACATTTAGAAGTAATTCAAATTCAACCACATAGAGATTGGATTGTGGAAATTTATTTTGCAAATAAAAATATAATACAATCACATCACTCAGCTATCAAAAAACAAAAAAGAAAAGAAATAAAGGGGGGGCATAAGAGCCAAAGAGCATTGTAAATGTGATAAGACTATGTTACTTGAGGATGACCTTTTATTGTTCTGTACACTGATTATTTCCACAATGCATGTGTGTGTTCTTCAATTCATTGTCACATATGTTTTCACTTTGATTATCACTTTACTCTTAATTGTTATTTGGGATGGTATTTATTTGGGTGTTTACTCTGCTTTAGTTAGATATCTGGCTTGTCTTACCATTTATATACTCTCTGTCTCCTGACCTAGGCCTGTTCTGTACTATTCTATATTATTGACATTAAACCCAGCTATTCTAAGATCCAGTAATACCCTTTTGTATTCAGATTATTTTATTTGTTAACTTAAATTCTGCATGTCGGGTCTTATTTATATCCCAGCATTACAGAAGTGCAATGGACATGTGAAGCTAAGGTTAAGGAACTTGATCACCATATGGATCAGTTCGCTCAGAACTTATTGGCATTTACTTCCCACATCCACCTGGAGTCACTTTCTGCCCCGCATGCACATCAGCAATCTGTGACTGCTTATTCTCGTCACAAATAGTTCCTTGGTATCTGCTTTTGTAACTGCGGCTGGTTCCCTTATTTACCACTATAATGTCTTAAAGCATAGAACTTAGCAGGGCTAACCATACAGATATCTTAGCCATAATTTTATATAGTTAGTAAGAGATCCTCTTTTTAACATATATAAATAATTGAGAATACAATATATAATAAGGATTGTCTTGGAAGCAATAAAGTTTGTCTTTTAGATATTTATTATTTAAAAATATAAATATAGACATATAAAATCCATTACAATAATTTATAGCAGAGTTTATGTGTCAGGATTACAGTATGATCCAGCATGTAGAACTGTGTAACACAGGAGACTAATAGTTAACGTATACCGGAACTTAGAATGGCCGGACTCACGTACCA